CTATATCTATATATACCGTAGTTATGTTGGCGAATTTGTACAGTGGATCATATATACTGGAATTGTATATTGAATTCGTTTTAATAGATATTTAATCAGTCTTGCTAAGTCTCAGTTGATACTATATCCATGAGATCTTATATTGAGATTCATGCAAAAAAATTCTTTTCAGTTTTTTCCTTTTTCTCTCTTGCATGATACGTCACTTGACTGAGACTTAGTTAAATCTTAGTCGACTGAGACCTAATCACGCCCATATTAAATACATATACATAACACATTTTACACTATGGGATATTATTTAGAACTGCCATTCATCACATGCATGTTTACATGGAAAGCTGCCTTCAACCCATGATTCTTCTTTGTACCTGGCGTACTTCAAATCATAAAAAATGATGTTGAAAACTTGAGATTGACAAACTAGAAGCTCTACCCGTCATCGGCGAGAGTTCATAAAAATTAAGTAAATGAGACGTTGCATTGGTCCCCCAGATATCTAGGGGCGGGGTCGGGTCCGCGAGTAGAGACAACAATGATATTTAAATAGTTTATCCACACAAACTTAATTTTTTTTGACATACAACTATGTCAATCCATCATGCCATCATACCATCATGCATGCTTCATTAAATTTAATTCTTTCTACATGCAACTATGCCAACTGACCATGACACTACGCATGAAAAAACTCACTTTAACATGCATAGTGCGGCAGATCATATATACAGGAAATTTTTATGATTCGTTCATGCATGTTCTTCGTTTATAGCTATATATACGGCAGTTATGTTGGTGAATTTGTATGGAGATCATATATATGGCAATTGTTTATTGATTTAGTTCTAATTAATTAATATATATACAGATTCATTACGCCATATTAGAGTAGTATTCTCAACACATGCTTGTTCTTACGAGGGGCTCTAACTCCAACTCAGTAGGCGACCTAGCCAGCCGCCGTCTCCCAAAGAGCTAGGGTTCTCTGCCTCCTGTCGGCGCCGGTTCGTCCCGTCTCCGGTGATCGTAGGGCCATGGAGGCAGAGTGGATCTCGGCCCTTGCGGTGGGAGGTTTCCGTTTTTAGATCTTTTTTCGAGCTTTGTTAGGGTTTGTGTCCTGCTCAGGAAGATGAGACGGCGACGGCTCCCTGAAGATGGAATAAAGGTCTCCCCGCCTAGCCCCCATCATCGGTGGGCGTGTGAAAGTGTGTCTCCGGCGGATCTGTGTTTAATTTGGTGGATTTGCTCGGATCTGTTCGTCGTTTGTATCTTTGTTCGTGTGTCTTCAGGTTGGATCCTTCTGATCTACACTCTTCATTCGCGGCGTTTACTGTTATGGTGCGTTGTTTCTATAGGGTCTTAGTACGACGACTTCCCGACTGTTTACTATAACTGTCTGGCTCCTGCGAGGGAGGGGCGATAACAGCGGCGCGTCTTCGGCTCGCTTCGGTGCTTCATTATACTATCACGATTGAAGATAAATAGGTTAGAAGTTTTTCCTTAAAAAAAAGTTAACTTCAGCCCACGAACAAAGCAATGGCTTCTTTGTACTTGGCATACTTCAAATTCGTCTAATTAAATTGGTGTGAAATTAATAAACTACTAAGAAACACGTACGAGCTCTACGCGTCATCGGCTAGGGTTTGCCTTGGTCCTCCGGATGTTCAGGTCGGGCCCGCGAGTAGAGACAACGCCCAAGATCGAACGGATGAGAGCGGTAGTTACAGATGCGGCACCGCCAAACGAAACTTCAACCCAAACAACAGCACCGCCGGGACGTAGCAGCCCTTGCACAGCCACCCGCTGCAACGCCGACGCAATTGCCTGCACAGCTCTGCCGCGATCACCGGCCACGGCTCCGCGGACAGCGCCGCACCAGATCTAGGCAGACGCCGCACACCAGGTCGCCCCAATTCGCTGAACGACCACCCCAGGTCGAGACCACGCCGCCAAGCAGCACAGCGCTCCACCAGTCCGGCCACGCCGCCGTATCCCGAGTTGTTCGTCGTCGATGCACTCGAACCGTCGCAGCCTTTTTTTTTACTCAAGAAAGAGAGATGGGGAAGTGGGGTGGACAGGAACATGAGCTTCGAGTCAACCATAAACGGAGAATTATTAGATACATACGGATGTAATTTTACAGCGTGGAACCAAAGGCCTTTTTCTCTTACGGTGGCTGCAGGCGAGTCCGAAACAGAGCGTGGCTTGGTTGGGTGCAGCAACCGGCTCGGTCGATCGACCAGAGTGAGGTTCTTTGTACTTGGCGTACTTCAAATTCGTCTAATTAAATTGGTGCGAAATTAATAAACTACTGCGAAGAGACACGTACGAGCTCTACGCGTCATCGGCTAGAGTTTGCATTGGTACTCCGGATGTTCAGGTCGGTCCCGCGAGTAGAGACAACGCCCAAGGTGGATTAGCAGTCGCTACAACGTTGAAAATTCTAGGATAACTCCTCGACAACATTGAGCGGTCGTCGATCTCCTCCTCGGGCTGTCACACCTGCACCCGCGTCCTCGTGGTGGGGCCCTCGCCGCCGTACGTCACTCCGGCCCATCGCCGGCGGGCGCCCAACCTCCTCTCCGTCTCCCGCTGCCCCCTCACTTCTTCCTCCCAGCGCTGTGCCATGGCGTCCTGTAGGCTGTAGCCAAGTGCCGCAGCTGTCCGACTACTACATCTCCTCTCCTTGGATGGAGGCACGGATCACCTCTCCCGTCCGACCGCCGCGCAACCATCGGCCCCTTTGTGTGAGGAGGCACCGGCCAACTTCTAGTGGAGGGCGTTCACGCTCCGGCCAACTTATCACAAACGATTTTGTTAAGTCTCAGTCGACTAAGACTTCATTATATCTCAGTTGATGTTATCTTTCTTTAATTTTGCATAAAGACTCGTGTAAAAAAATTCTTCTCAGTTTTTCTTTTTTACTTCTCCGATGCTATATCACTTGACTGAGACTTTGTTAAGTTTGAGTCCACTGTCTTTCGGACGAATCAGCAGAGGTGATAAAAACGATAATAATAAAGAAATACAATGTGCTTGCGTAAGTTTTTACCTGCAGCCGTGTACATACGATCAGGATTCTATCTAGTAGATAAACAACATGGCACAAAAGTACCGTTACGTATGATGCAAAAATATATGCAAAATAAAAGGGTCAGGGCATGTCCGTGTTTGTCAAGTCGGACAAGGCGCTGGACTGGGTCCGCAACGACCAAAACCTGGTGGCAGCCTAGGCTCTCAACAGGTCCGCTGCGCGCCCGCCAGCGCCATATCAACTGGAAACTCGCAAGATTGACGAGGAATTGTTGCTTACCGACACCATTGCCAATGCCTACAGAGGGAAGGCAAACGCCAGGGCACCGCGGGCGTCATCGGCATTGGCAGCGGCGGCCTCCGCGCCGCGCAAGAGGAAGCGGACCGGCTCCTTCACGAGCGTCGGGCGACGGCCGACAAGGCTGTCCCTGTGGCCATGTGGCCTTCCGTGGCATGAGGAATGGCATCGACGATGATGACAACACGGACAGCGATGGGGATGTAGCCGGGCTGGCCGGGCGGCCAAGTGTATGAGTCATCGTCCATTACAAGTTAGGCTCATAGGTTTTCTTCTAGTTCTTGTTTAAATGGTCGAAATATCATTCGTTTTATATAAATTATGTCCTAACTTTAATAAAATTCGGCGTGTGATATAATTTGTTTAGTTTATTTATATCCAATTTAAGATATATGATGGCAACTTTGAATGTGCGGCTCCTACATCAGTGTCTGGGACTGGTCCTCACCAGTCCGCGGACTGATACAGTGTCCGATTTCAGTCAGCGTTGAAGACGCCCTTACCAACCATTCATATATGTGCCATTAGTTTATGTTTCTCGAACGCGCAGGGGAGAGGATTTGGGTCACGTAGTTGCAAGGGCATCAAGTCCCTGCGCGTGCTTTGTTTTTTGTCTTTCAATTTTTAAACTTGCATATCTTATGAATAAGAAGTTCAAATTAAGTTATGTTTTCAGATTAGTGTTTCTGGTGACAACGGCTTTCAAATAAGATCCACACATTGTTATCGGTCGTTCGTACTAAATTTTAATACCTCATGATTTCTGTGCCAACATCGGAGAAAACTTTAACACATTTTTTTGCCCTCATGCAGTATCTAATTGCTTCATGAAATCGCGAGACAATTGGAGGGCCGGGTAAGCCTTGACGCCTCAATTGTCTCGCACCCCCGCACCGGCGTAGCCCTCCAAATTTCCGCGCGGTTCCACCCTGCGCTACCTCACGCGCGCGGTGGCTTCCCGTAATCGCAAACCGCGTTGGGCATTGGCCATTGGGTCAAGTTCGTCGGTCGTACTCTCGAACGGTTCCGGTGGATTCAGCCTTGATGCCCTTTCGCGTGAGGCGCTGTCTTCTACTTGCATTTACTCCCTACACTCACAGTTCTGCCCAGGAAGGCAAATGGCACGTATGTATGTATATTTTTTTGAGGAAAAATGACACGTATATATGTATGCTTCTTCTTCGGAAGGCAATTGCCACGTACGTATCTGCTACTGCCCAGGAAGGCGCCTAGCAAGCCTTCTCACCAAAGCAAACCCCCCGGTGCAAAAATATCTCTGACAAGACGCGGCGGTGTATGATGCAACCGGGATGTATAAATGCTCAATGGATT